CACACACACACACACACACACACACACACATCTCTCTCTCTCTCTCTCTCTCTCTCTCTCTCTCTCTCTCTTCATTCTTTTCTTTGCATTTTTTATGTCTCTTGCAGGAATCCCAAGGCCTCCACATCCTTCAGATATATCCCCCTACTACCCTCTGTCACCTGGCACTGTAGGCCAGATTCCCCATCCGCTAGGATGGTTAGTACCACAGTAAGCAGCCCGATTTTATTCCTCTTCTTTCATCTTTGTGATCATTATTAATCCTTTGAAACTTTAGTGCTTATTTTTTTGTGGTGTTATAACATGATGTACAGTGGGGTCCAAAGTCTGAGATCTTAAAAATGTTTTTAATTAATTAATTTTGAATATAATTGTTTTTATTTATTATGTATTTTTAATATATATCAGAACATTTAAATTTTGAATAAAATATTTCATTAAAATAAAATATTACAATTTTATCAGTGTTTATTTTATTTTAATTATTTTATTTATTTTGTTTTACAGCTTTTTTATTTCTAGGGTTCAATTTGATTATGAATCACAGATTTTTTTTGAGGAATCCGACTTTTGGGCACCACTTTATATGTTATGACATACATAAGACTGCATTTGTTCAAATATGTTGCATTTTGTTATTGTGTATTTTATATTCGCCAGGCCTCTGTCCACTTTGCTGTGGGCCTCTGGGTATTTAAGATGCAGTTTGAGACTTCGGCCATCACATACCACAAAAGCTAACTCTTAACCTCTGTACAGTTTATACATTCTGGAAAGGCACCGCTGGGGCCCACAGCAATGCACCCATGGCTTTCTTCATCCCCTAAACTCTAAATTGCCTCTTTGTGGCAAATGCTATATTGCATGTCTCTGTATTGTCCAATTAGAGTAATGAACTGTGATTGCCAGTATTTTACCCACAATTCCACACGGGGGCTCTCCCCTGGTAACCCTTGTCAACACTTGTTAATATGACAAAAGGCTACAAATTAAGCTCTGTTAATTTAATGTTTTCTCATCGCGATCTAAATACCAAGAGAGGCCCCAAGCACAGCCACGGCCCTTTGATTCTCTGCACTTTATTTTGGTATAAATTTACATTCATTATTGTTTGTCTTTGGATGTGTAGACCTCAATTAGCGTGATGGCTCCATTAAAGGGGCCGGTGCTTCGTCTTTAATTAGCACAACAAAACACCTAGTTTCAGCTCAGGGAGAGGGGCCTCCATCGACACCAAGCGCAGGGTTATGAAATTTAATTAGCCATTCCTATCAGATTTGTGGCATTCAAATTGTTCAGAGTTTGCCTCCCTTTGATCTGCGCTCTGCAATCCCCTAGATTTTTGTTCTGATCAAATGATAATAAAGCCGCCTGCATAGAGAGTGCTTTTTCCCCTCTTTTTTCATTCCTTCCTTTACCTCTCTTCCTTTCTTCTTTTCCTAGGCAAGGTCAACCAGTTTACCCAATCACGACGGGAGGTTTCAGACACCCCTATCCAACTGCCCTCACTGTCAATGCATCCATGTCAAGGTGAGTTGAGCCTTGGGACGGCCGACTCGCTGAGAACGCGAGCGTGTCAAAACCCCTGCAAACTTCTCCCTTAAGGAGAGACAGCTCTCGCCTCAGTGTTCAAAAAGACGGTCCCATGCCATCCCATACGTATTCAAATATTAATTATTGTTAACATTTTATAATGAGACCCCTAAAGAACGTTTACCCCGACTGAATGGCAGAGAACAAGAGGACTGTCAATTTAGCTACAGTCACATGCAGAAGTAAAGAATCTCTTCGTAAAATGCTGCAGATTTCAGGGGCCATCTTTGGACTCTGAGCGAGAGCTTTGTGTGGGCTCTTGGGGTCTGGTTCAAGTGGCAATTTGGACACAAATGTCCCCAAGAGAGCAATAATGGTTGTGTGGGTGGGGGGATTGTGGGATATGTGTGTGAGGGTATGTTTGTTTTAACTGTCACAGTGATTGCTCCCTTGTGACTGTTCCTCATCTGTTATGTGAGAAGTGGGAGGTGTTTGCTGTAGATGACAAATCTCTGTTTGCTTTATTGCTTTTATGTCATTTAAACATAAAAGTGAGATGCAAACAGCTTCATATGGTCACCTTCTTCTGCATTTACTCGGCCTTTCCCCCCTAATCTGAAACATATGATACTCTTTTCGCAATGATGATGAATGTGACGATGATGATGATGATGGTGGTAGTGCTGAGGCTAGCCAGAGAGGCACAGAGGCAGATCTGGTTTATAGTTTCGAGAAATGGAGACCAACTCAAGCCCAGCCTGTGTCTCCAGACAGGGACAAACTCCTGTTTAATTGCAGTGTGATTGGAAAAGCAGCTCTGGAGGCCTGGCGAGCTTGGACCAGCAGACGTTGATGGATAAATGTGAGCAGGGAAGCAAGAACGGGAGGGAGGAACAGGGAGGGGTTTGTGCGCCTTAAACACTGGCCTGGGTTTGAGCATTTTTGAGGGGAGAAAAGCTTTGGAGAAGATACTCAGAGCTCAACGAAAAGTCCTATACAGTGTTTCTGTTCAGGAAATTAGGATATATAACATGCTCAAACATTGGGCCCTCATTCATGAAACACGAGTGGAAACAAATCTGTGTGAATTGTGTAAAATTTGTGTCATTTCTGCATAAATTGTTGCATAAATATGTCAAATTTACTTGAGAATGATTTGATGAACAGTTCGTTCATTAAAAAAGCAGAAACGAATTTGTGTAAATTATTCGCCAAACTATTCTTGCGTAATTATACATTTTTGTGTACAAAGTATACTTATGAAAAATGTATTCTTGAAAAAGAAAAGATATTTAATCAAACGAGCAGAATTCATTTTTGTGTATATCACTCGTAAAACATTTTTTCTAGATTCGTTCTCATTGATGCAACAAATGTAGTAAAATTTGCTTTACAAACAGTTCACTCTTAAGTACATTGACACATTTATGCACAATAGGTTTTACAAACAATTCATTCATGAAATGAGCAGAATGAATTTCAGGAAAATCATTTGTTCTCAACTAATTAACTCATTAAATGCTAAATAAAAAAAATATATAAGAATAACTTATAAACAGTTAATTCTTGAACTGCAAATTACTTCAAGAAACATGAGCAGAAAAAATTCTTAATAACTAATAAATTATCTTAGTGAATGCAGCAAATTCACACAAGAATGTTCTAACAAACAATTAACATTCATTCTGCTTGCGTGAGTAAATGAGGCCCAATCTTGCACTTGCATCTAGTGTATTTTCATCATCATCACACAGTTTAAAGTGGTCAGGCCAAACATAACAGCTCTGAAACACAATATTTAGCTCTGCAGTGATGATCCGAGTGCATCGGCAGCTACTCTGCTTATGACACCAGGGTCTTTGCAGCCAGTCCTGGCTCTGAAACCAAGGCCTTACACATTTGACACCAACAGCTTTCACCCTGTGTGTGTTTTGAGGTCTCGGCTCCATAGAGAAGTAATTTGTACTGTACCCTGCCTAGGCCTGCTCCGCCGTCAGGAGCCCATGCGGGTCTGCAGCCGCTGCTCCGGCACTGAACCTTCACTTAAGTGACAGCTGATTCTATTCTAATGAGGCCTTTATATTGTGATCATCCTATTTCCAGTGCAGGCTAATTGAATCTTTTGAATGGGGGCTAGGGGGATTGGTGATGTGCTGGGGAAGAGCTAATGCATTTTGATAATCTGTAATTGAATTAGCATAGATTAATAAGTGGTGGTCTTGTGTCTCTGCGGAGGGAAGGTGCTTTAGCATGTTTGTGTCAAAACCAACGGCGTCCTCTGTCATCGGCCTCCTGCGCAAAATAATGAGCACCAGGAAAAGGCTTCATTAATTGTGTTTATGGTTTTTCTGTGAATAAAGCTGGCGAGAGAGAGGGAGAGGGAAGTCTTGCTTTGTCTTCTTTCACAGTCAGTGGACAAGAACTCCAGGAGGCCTCAGGATTAAGAGACGCCCATATGTTGCTCTCCAGTGCCTGTCTTCAGCTCAGAGAGATTCTGATGGCCCTATCTGCTGCCATTTATTATGCAGTTAGCACACAGGGCTTCATGTAGCGATCTGCTTTTCACTCCAGCCTCCTAAAAAATACATTTCAGATCGCGAACGGCATGGACTCGGATCCGGCAAATGAGCTACATAGTTTTGATAATGGGGTTGGAGTCGTACAGGTGTATCGGCTGTCCCGGGTGACAGGGGGAGGAAGTGTAGGCCCCTTGGCCCCTGCCCGTTCCTGCCCTTTGATATGTTCCTCCACCCGCACCTCTGCTCCCATCCCTTCTTTTTCCGCAGAGGAAGAGAAAGTGAATGAGAGACAGAGCGCACCGGCGGGGTCATTATACATTAAACAGGCGCCGAGGCCATCGCTCCGATTGGCAATTAAATGGCACTCACTGACACTCCGCTGGTGTGGAAGAAGATTGAGACATTGGGCCCTGCAGGGGCCCTTCTCGGCACACCTCTCTGTCTCGCTCTTCCCTCAGCAGGGCTAAATTGGTGGCAGGCTCCGCTGCGTGCTGATGAGCGGAATGATGCCCTGCGCTTCAAAGGGATGGCCGTCATGTTTAAACCATAACCTGGGCCTCGCTATGGCAACAGCGGCACGGGTGGGGGTGGGGGTGGTGCTGATGGGACAGTCAGGAGGAGAAGGAAGAAAAAATTGGATGGCGGAACAGAGGAAATTTTAACAAGTATGCAAGGACAGAAAGAGAAAGAAAAAAGGTGGGGGCTAATGATCATGGCACTGCAGCCGCAACGCCGGTCCCCCCTCAGTAGAAGCATACGGGTGGCCCGGATGACATGGCACAAACACAAATGTGTCAGGGATGAAGGGAAGAGAGAATAGGAGAAGAGAGATTGGGGGGGAAACACAGTCCCCAGAGAGAACCTCCAACAGAAACTAGTTGTTCCTTGTGAGTTTACGCTCATCATTATATTCTGGCTCCAAGCCATATAGCCACACTCAAGCAGATAATGAGCTGTTTGAAAAAAAGAATTATTCCTTCTCTTTTTTTTTTTTTCATCATCCACCATTCTTTCTCTCAAATTTGTGTACAGCCACACACAGATGGGATGCACTAAACACATACACACTCAGGCACAGATATGTTCATTTGTACGCTCAGGAATTTATTCTGCTTTCCTACTGATCTTTATGGAATGCTAGGGGGATGATATTATAGATATGTCCTTAAAATAGCCAGCGGGCATTTTAGTTTGATTTAAAGAAAATAATCAAATTGCAAACAAATGAGAAGAAAATGACCACCCTAAATAGTCCAGAATTTACCTCACTAATCAAAAATATGATTTTGAATAAAAAAATGTCAATTAAAACAATTTGACCATATTTAATTTATTCATACATGTTTGTGGTATGTTTGTCATCAGAACACATTATTTGAAAGAAAATAATGTGCATAATATTTTATCTTTTGTCAAAATATAGTTTTTTCTCCACCACTGAAATGAACATGTGGGTGGGAAGAGATAATATTAATCAATAACATTATATCTCACTTTTTATGATGCAGTCAAATCCAAACATTTTGATGTTAAATACATAAAAAAGCGGAACCTAATAGCTTTCTTAAGGTTTTTTTTTTTGTCTTATTTTTTAATGAATTATTGGTCTGTTATTTTGAAGGGGGAAAAAAATTAAAAAAATATATATATATATTTTATAATAATATAATATAATATATAAATATATATATTTTTCTTCTTTTCTTTTTTTTCCTTCAAAATAACAGACCAATATGGGGTTCTAATGTTTTGGTCAATATTATTCGTTATTGTGGTCAGATTATAAGTGCAATAAGTTTCCAGATTATACATTTCCAATCAAAATGTAATCAATTTCTCTGGCTCTGAAACAACTTTTCTGTTCCGCTTATGTGGCTGTGTGGAAAAATTATATTAATAATTCTAACCAATAATTTAATCATAACCCACTTTTTATGATCCAATCAAATCATCATGGGTAAATTTATATCCTGCCCAAAATGTATTCCATCTATTTTGTTTGATTTTGAAATGCATCACATTTTATAACTAAAATGCTTTTTGTTTCATGTTGTGAGTTCTAGATCTTGGATTTGTCATTTATTGCCATTTCCTTTCTTCCACATAACAGATGTATTAGGTTACTGCTGCTTTGTTTTTATAACCACTGTGATGTGTCAAGTCTTTAGCTCATGAATGTGTGTGTGTCCATCCATCATTTCACCCGTGTCCACTCTGACGATTTACACAGTCTTTTCTCCTCCAGGTTCCCTCCTCACATGGTGCCCCCCCACCACAGTTTGCACACCACAGGGATCCCCCACCCAGCCATCGTCACGCACAACGTCAAGCAGGAGTCCTCTCACAGTGACATCGGCTCCCTCAACAGCTCGTGAGTTCACTTTACACTTTTCAGTTCTCTATTCATCCAATAAAGTCACAAGTTGGTACACATACGCTAACATCTGATCCCTCCCATTGGCAGGAAACATCAGGATGCGAAAAAAGAGGAGGAAAAGAAGAAGCAGCCACACATAAAGAAACCTCTGAACGCGTTCATGCTTTACATGAAGGAAATGAGAGCCAAAGTGGTGGCAGAGTGCACACTGAAAGAGAGCGCAGCTATCAACCAGATCCTAGGCCGAAGGGTGAGCGCCACACACATTACAAGACTAAAACATCATACAGAGTGGCAGCAGACTGTCTCAACTACTAAGACCACAGATTGTAGTGTTGTCGGTGGTGGAAAACATTTCTTTTTCTATATAATTGTAAACTTGCTTTATGTTGCTATTGAGTAAAAGTACAATACCAGAGGAAGGGGAAATTTTAATCACGGTGGTTAGACCGCTCATGGAAACACTTCCGTGTTGTTTGAGCCTAAAATATCAGTGGTCTCTTCCTCTGTGATGGCCGCAGTTTTGACGGATGTCTGTGTGTGTGTATTTCTCTATGTGCAGTGGCATGCTCTGACTCGAGAGGAGCAGGCCAAATACTACGAGTTAGCCAGGAAAGAGCGACAGCTTCACATGCAGCTGTACCCTGGCTGGTCAGCACGAGACAACTATGTAAGTTTTTAAGTTTTCAACAAGTAACAATCTTTTCTTCCCTCCCCAGGGGCCAAAGAGTAGTTTAAAGCCATCTAGATGTGCATTTTACAAACCATGTGACGATTACCCAACAGCCTTTGGAGAAAACTAAAGCACACAGACCTAAAAAACGGCTGTCTGGTTTAAGCTGGTTTGACTTCCCAAAACCACTCTAAAACCAGCAAAACAGACCAGCAAGACTTAGCCAAGCTGGAAGACTTTAGATTTATTTTAGCTCTACCCACTGTACCAAGCTTTTCCTCAGTGCAGTCAGGTCTGGTTTTTCCCTGTGTGCCGTGCGATTTTCCTCTGCTTCCATTAGTATTCCACTGGTTCACCTAAAAGGAGAAAGGCGAGCTGAGATCAGAGTAATTAAATAACCACAGGGCCTAAACGCCTCGCAGCTTTGATGAAAGAGGACATCTCTCTCCGGCGCTAGAAATGGGGAACGAGCGCACCGTTTACTGTTTCGCCAGAGTTTCGCGCCTGACAAACGGCCCCACCGCCCAGCCTGTCAACTCTCCTTGGAGTCTGACCACGTTTCTTGACTCGCCTAGTCAAAGTTCCTCAACCGGAGTAAGATAATCGCTCTGTCCAGGCCCAACCTTGGCCTCAACGCAATCAGCAGTCACGGACATGTCCGGCGGAACGTAGCCCATTTTTGAGGAGGACAAATACAATAAAAGTTCTCTCGCTCTGCTCTTACCCTCCAGTAAACCGACCCGCTCAAAGAAACCTCAAGAGCTTCCAACCATTTCACAATGAAAAGAAAACTAAGCAGCAGCGAGAAAACAAAGAATAAACAAAAGGAGAGAAATAGGACGAAGGGAACGATAGGGAAAGTTCTGTTTTGTCCTGCAGTGGCATTTCAAACCTTCAGGCTCTTACATGAATAAATAAATCAGTGAAAACATTGGGCTCTCTTGTTCATTTCATGTCTTGGTCTTTTCTGCAATATAATAACTAAGGTTCCTGTCTATTTCTCTTTTTCTGGCGGGTAACTATCAGGGGAAAAAGAAGAAGAGAAAAAGGGAAAAGCAGGCAGGAGAGGGCAATGGTATGCCAGCCTCCGAATGTGCCGCCCATGCTTGTGTCACTGTGTTTTGTGGTTGTAACTTTGGGCTGTGCCTGCTGCATGCTTTTTTATATACCTGTTTATATAGTAATAATATATATTAAAATAAGATTTTTGTTTGGTTGTTTTTTACATTCACCCACATCTTTCAATTAAGGAGGTTTGCTGATTACATTGATTTGATTCACTTGACCGTTCTTCTTTATGATGCTGATTACTGTGAGATATTGTCCAGGAAGAATGCAGAGTCATGTATTTGCGGTCTCTCTTCATCATGGACACCTTTTGAAGGCCTCTGTATCTTGTTCTTTTTTTTCCAGAACACAGAGAATATTTTCCAAACCCTTGCCTTTCACTCCCTCCGATTACAGGTGCTAATGTCATTTTGAGTCTTAAATTACTAACTTGCTTTTTTCCCCTATTTTGGTTCTTTATGTATTTGTTTATTTGTGCTTGTGCAGTATATCAAATATATAATGATCTTTCTTTAATGAATAATACTCCATATTTGCTTTATATATCTTTTATTTGACAAGCTCAGCAATTCTCTTGAAGAATATGTTGCTTTATTTTGCTCCTTTTCAGTTGTTTCCTTTGCTCCATTTTTCATTATACACATACTTTCATCCAAAAATGCTTCTATGTTAAAAGTCATATGTTATTATGAATAAAAAAAAATCCCTGATTTGGTCAACTCTAAGCATGCAGCTGCAATATGTTTATAGGAATAGGAAATATGATCAAAATAACCAAAGATGTTGTTATCAGGGTAAACCTCCTTAATCTACTCAACTGCCTTCAGTAGCTGCCCCTGCCTCCTCCACGCCCCCAGCATGATTGCGGGCTTTGCCCTGTCTCCTCTTGATCTGCTCCACTTACAACCTGCCTTCACCCTCCTCAAAGACCCATCTACCCATGACCTTTGGCCTGGTGCTTATGTGGGCTGTTTGAGGTGGATGAAAGTGGACCAGTCCTGTTTATGAAGCAGCCTCGTAGTGTTTCCCTGGCTTAAACTAATGCTCCGCCTCCCTCCTATAGCTCCTCCCTGCTACTGCTACCTCAGCAACCTGTCACTATCACCTCCTCTAGTCTAGAACAGCCAAATAATGGCCGGCAGACATTGTATCCATATCTGCTGCATCCCGCAACGCTTACCTTTTAACGAACGAGCATTTATTTACCCATAAAGAGCCTTGGTTATGAAAGGCATGCACTGTGTGCTGATGTATTGATTTCTGTCATCATTTACTTTCATTTTTGTTTCTTGCAGTTTTTCATTTCTTATTGTTTGTATTACTAACAAAATATGGTCGAATATGACTGTAAAGGCATTACTGCACATTTGATTGCTACTATTTAAATTCATCTGTTGGGGAAAAAAGACTTTTACAGAGCTCGTCAGATTCATTGGATTCAATTTATCTCTCTTTCCGCTCTCTTTTCTGATTTCATCTCTCCTCTGCGCTGGCTTCCTCTTCCCTTCTTCGTCCCGTCAGATCTGAGCGCTCCAAAGAAGTGTCGCGCACGCTTCGGGCTCGACCAGCAGAATAACTGGTGTGGCCCATGCAGGTGTGTATCTGGTGTGCCGGCAGGTGTGCTAGAGCAGGTGACAGCTGGGGAACTCTCTCATTGGTACCTCCTCCCACTTTTCTGGCTCTCTCAGCCTCGCATTCTCTCCACGCCACTTCCTCTGCCAATCAGCTTCTGCAAATCTGGGCAATAGGTTTTATTTTTCATTGCTAGGTGGGATGGAAGGGTTGTTTGTGTGGTTGTTTTTGTGTGAGTGTGTGAAAAAGGAGTTCATGTAGAACTCCTTTTTGAATTGAAACGAGGCAGGGTTAAATAAAAAAGGCGGGGTTTATTTCCCTCTGTTAAGGGGGAGGGGTGTGGCCAGGGGGTTGAGATGAGCTGGTCATGGTAAGTTTTTGGGGAGGCATGGTACCAAAGTCCAAAGCTGAATCATTTGCTCTAGCTCCATGCCTTTTTGTGTCCAATGACGTGTGCTTTTTTTTCTTTCTTTGTTGTGTTTTATGTTCCTCTATGGATAACAGATGCAAATACCCCTAAGAAGTGTCGTGCCTTGTTCGGGCTTGACCAGCTGGGTTTATGGTGCAAACCCTGCAGGTATATTCCCAGCCCCACTCCTGGGGAGAACGTCGAAATTATGATGATGATGATTTTAAGATGACAAAAATCAACTTTTCTTCTCTTGAAACTTGTTCCATGGATTATATGTTCCTACTTCAATCTCTGAGGCCTTGTTACAGTTTATATGTTTTACAAAGACTTCTTTCTTACTTGTTTCTGTCCTTTTCTGACTGTTGAAACACTTCAGACGAATTGAAATCCTCGGGCAGAAAATGCCAAAAAAGAATTACAAAGGCATTGTGGTTAAAATTTCAAGTCAAGCATAAACCTTTTTTTATTTTGAGTTTTTTTGTATTATTATAATTTAGTACTACTGTTTTTTTTCTGCCCAAGGAACTAATCTGCTGTTTTGTACTGTTCTGCCCTGGTCACTTCTGTTAGAACTGTGTGATGTAGCCACTTTCCTTTTTGTGGAGGGTAGGGTTGGGGTGATGCCATCTGATCCCCCCTCTCTCTTTTTTTTCCTCCCCTTCTTCTTCCTTCTCCACTCCTCTCTTATAACCCTTTATTCAGTCCCAACCTCTTGTCTTTCTGTTCTAATACAAGCAGTCTTTGAATTGGGAATATGTTGATGGTAGGTATTTGTTTCTGCTAAGTAATACCCTTTTCTGTGTCATGCTTGTGCACTCTTTCCTTTTCACCCTTCCATCATCGTGGACATCAGACGGTGTGCTGTTGTGATACTCCACTGTCCATTTTCTACTTGCCCAACTGTATCCCCATTCCACCAATTTCATTTATCCTTGCTAGTTTAGAAATCCATCTGATTCTCCAAAATCCACTCCCTCTAGTCTGACCTCCTTCAGGAACAACAGAAAGCTTCTCAACTTTAGAATGTATGTGAATCTGAGCGTTGGATGTTGGATGCAGGGTCCAAAGTTCACATTCGCCATACCTGCCAGTGGTGGAACTGAAAAGCAAATACTTAAATACTACTAATAGTTCATATTTTATATTTCAATTTCATTGAATGATTGTATAACTAAAACTAAGGAAATTGCTTTCATGCAAAATTTTCTTTTAGATGTTTTATATGAGTTAAATATTGTCTGAAAAAGCACAACAGTAATTCTCATCTTTAATTTGTAGACTGTTGAAACTCTTTTCTGACTCTTTCATTTGATTCACTCATGAGGAAAAAATAACCAGCGTTGTTGTTCGTACTTTTAAGTTGAAACCACACAATATTTAGCAATTTCTTGGAGAAAAAAAAACGATCTTGCTAGCCAGTAACTGTTTTATTTGTATAGAAGTGTGTAGCTGGAGTTGCTGAAGTTGTATTTTTTGAGGGGTAGTGCCGTTCATTAGCACCTCTTGTTATTCAGAGGAACAGCCTGTGCATTTTTTGGGCTGTGCTGAGAGAAACGCTGGTAATTGCATCTTGATTTAGGGAGCTGTAAGGTTAAAAGACCTCACTCAGCTCCGTTTCCTGAAAGATGCATCTGGAGAAATTCCCTCGGAGCCCCATAAATCAATAAGGAACACAGTGAGATACTTAGAATCAATATAGCTCTTAAAAAATGGATATTAGCTTATTTGCCGCAGTTTGACAGGCAGTTAGCACCTTGACAGACCCGAACCGTTCCTAAATTCACAAACGACCTCCTCTCAAAAGCACAGAGTAGCAGGCAGATAAAACGAACACATCTCTGCCTCTGTTCACCTATCTTTGACCCTGAAGTGCCATGTCTCCTCTGTAATAAGTCTGTTCTGTGCGGATCCCTCCAGCTGCATGTCGCGCGTCGTGCATGCCCACCGTACACAAAGTGGGTTTAAGTGGCCGTGACAAGATTTCCGTCCTCTTTTTGTCATTTTTCTTCATCATAGTGTGTATCTTCCTCCCCGACTGTCTCTCTGTCTTTTTCGCACTTTCGTCTGAAACCAACACGCATAAGAGCAGGCAGGGGTATGACTTGAGAAACAATCCTTACCTGGCTGATATTTTAATGACGAAACCACAAAGAAGTTGCCGGTTAATTGATCCCGGTTCTCCCGCATCTCTCTAGCTCCCCCTGTCTTTGATTTAATTCCCTTTTATTTTGCTCTCTGTATTTGTTGATCTTTCTTTTCTCTTTTTGGAGTTAGCCTCGGCTGCATCACTGAGCTCGCCCTTTAGGCAGGATAAAGAGAGTTTTTGGGGAGGAAGGGGGGGGGGTTGGTCAGGTCAGGTAGGGCAAGGTACACTGAGGTTTTCCCTCTCTCTCCGTTTCTCTCTCTCTCACACTCTCTACCCCTACCTCACGGCGTGCTGGCTTGGCGCTGGTGAGATGTGGCTGGCTGGAATGGCTGGCCGTAGGCGTAGCAGACGAGGGAGGGTCCTGACCCGAGCAGAAATGCAAACATGGCACCACGACCTCTGTGCAGAGCGCTCACACACATGTCTTAGGGGCAAGCTGAGAGTAGCGCTTCCTCGCTAACCTTTTACCCCACCATCTGAACTTCCCCTGAAGGAACGCAAGGAAAAAGACAGGAAAAAAGAAGGGAGAAAGAGGAGTGTAATAATTCAAGCTGATGTGTAAACTGGATGGATCCCCTCGCGGTTTGCGAAACCGGGGTGGAGTTCTTTTGTTTGGAGTTGCGTTACGCCGCCGAAGGAAAACAAAGAGAGATGTAGGCCTCACCTCTTTCATCATTCTCCTTCCTCATTCCGTCTGTTCATCTTCCTCTTGTCCTCCCACTGTCCTGTCCTCTCTGCATGTAATCGTGTGACACCGTGTGAGAGCGAGACGCGTCTGACCCTAATCTTGTCCAGCTCTAGCGTCCATTTTCATGCAGAGTCTGAAAGTGGGTCCGCCAAAAGTTGCTAATGAGATCAGCATGGGTGTCCCGAATTTAAGATATGTGCATTTAAATGGACGTTACGGCTCTGTGGGGTCCACTCTAAGGTTCAGACAGAGAACTTCAATGTGTCCCCTCTTTTTTTTTGTTTTTTTTTAGGAGAAAAAAGAAGTGCATTCGCTACATTCAAGGTGAAGGCAGCTGTGCCAGTCCTCCTTCTTCGGACGGAAGCTTACTAGAGTCCCCCCCATCCTCCCCCTCCATGGTCTCTCCCTCCCCGTCCTCGAAAGAGTCCAAACCACAAACTGAACAAATGCAACCTCTCTCACTGACTATGAAACCGCCCCCCCTGCTCTCGTCGTCCCAACACCAACACCTCTCCATGGCTCCACCCTTAGCTTTGTTGGACAACTCCGGGGCGGGCAAAACGTCCGGCTCGGCACACAACGGCTCCTTGGACCCCTCAGACGTGTCGTCGTCCCGACCCACAGGCTCCGCCTCCTCCAGGCCTACATCGGCGTGTCATTCCCACTCTCTGCTGCCCAGCTCCGCCACGACGCAACCCCTTTCGCTCGTAACCAAGTCGATAGACTAGCTTCGTTGTTTTTTTAAACCAGCTTTCTCTGTCTGTCTCTCCGTCTGTCACGCGTCTTGTCTTTTTTCATTCTGTGTTCTGATTCTCTTGTTTTTTCTGTGCGATATGGCTTTGAAAATTTCGTTAATTCTTTATCAGAGTTCATTGGTCAATATTTGACCTGTCATTATCTAAAAAAAAAAATGAAATTATTATGATTAAATATTGATAATTAAATACACTTAAGTTGTAGAGTATAGCTTTGTGAATCTGCCAAATTTTTGTATAAATTTTTTTGGGTTTGTTTTTGTTCAGTTGTTTTGCTTTTTTTCAGCTGTACAACAGAAAAATGCATAATTGTTATGTTGACATGTTTAAAGACAGATATACAAAGTAGGTGAGGATTCAGTGAGCCCTTTTCTCAAAGAATTGGTTCTCCTTCATTATTTGTATTAAATACGAGCTTGTGAACCAATCATTTTACAGCTGTCCCAAACTCAGAGGGCACGAGGACTGTGGAGACACCTCTCCGACTGAGGAACAACTTTAATCGTGATGTTACTTGTTCTTGTTTAAATGTACAGAAATATGGGGGGTTACTGTGTTAATATGCATTGTTCCATTGCGTTGTCCGTTTTATCTTTCTTTTTTGTCGTTGTTTACCAGGGGGTGGGAGGTTGACTCCGGTTGGGGTGGGTGGACTCGATTGGATGGGTGTTTTGGGGTGGGGGGTTTTGGGTTATTCGATACAAACTGTCACAATGCTAGGACCAGTAGTATTTATTGCTTTAGAGATTGCTTGTCGTATCTTGTATGTTGTCCCTTTTTGAAATCTTTTCATTTTCTTAATACATTGTATAAATATTCTTTTTCTTAACGTAAGCAACTTATATATATATATATATATATATATATATATATATATATATAGATATATATAAT